GCTGTCGACTACCTAACGCAACCCTCCACTTTTCTCATCCGGGCTTGGGACCGGCAACGGCAGTGTTAGAAAAATTATTCTAACATGGTGTGTAAATTCAGTCTTAGTTTTGATTTTGGCATGCGAATTTCACAAAGTTTTAAGTAGAAAAATTATTCTACCATGGTGTGTAAATTCAGTCTTAGTTTTGATTTTGGCATGCTGCCAAAATCTCAATTTTGGTAGTCTCAGTCTTGATATGTTTCAATTTTGACTTGGTTTAATTTTTGTTTTCACAATTTGTATTTAAAATATACTTTTTTGATAAGTTTGAAATTTTAAAAAACAAACATTTAAGATAAGAAAAAACTCTGGGTTTATGAAGCTAACACTATTCTGACCATGAGTTTAAAAAATGCTATAATATATATTGATGCCATCATATAGCTCTTATGCTGTGGAAGCAGCATGATGGTAGTCTTCCTGGTTATAGTTGTATTTCATTAATTTTTCATTAATTATAAGCTACAACAAAACTCATAGCTCCCAGTCTTCATAAAAAAAAAAACATATAGTTCGGTTATTTTTTACATTAAAATTTCTTATTCATAAAATAACTTGAGATAAATTTGAAAATTAGGAAAAAAATATTAAAAAAAAACAATTTGTGACAAATAACTTCTGCTAAGTTTTATACCCTATCTCTCTCTCGCTCTCCCTCTCTCTCTATCCATGTCCCTCTTTGGTTTTGATAATATTTAGCATCTCACAAAATTATTTCGAATAGAATAAGCATGCTAGTTATTTTTACATTAAAGGTGACTAATCTTACAAAAGACAATGCGCATCTCATCCTAAGTTACGTTGCAAAATCCTAGACCCCAAGGCATTCTAAGAGCTTAGTAGGGGTGTAAACGAGCCGAACACGAACGAGCGAGCCTGGGCTCGCTCGTGTTCGGCTCGTTTGCTTAGTGAGCCGAACATGAGCCGTTTACGAACAAAGAGTCGTTTTGACAACCCTAATCACTTAGTCATAAGATGTTAAGGATTTGGCAAGATTTCAAACATCATTTGAATTTAATTTAATAATTTTTATTCTATTTTTTTAATTAATACTTTTAAGTGATTGTAAATCTTTGTAGCGTTGCAGTGAATTAATTTTTTTAAAATACTAATCACCAAAGATATATATAATTAGTATTATTTTGAGTCTAAATGAGCCGAATAAATATTTTTTCTATATATATATCTATATATAATTAGTAGTATTTTGAGCCAAAACGAGCCGGACACGAACGGACAAATATTTATTCTTGTTGTTCATGTTCGGCTTGTTAACTTAGCGAACGAGCCGAACACGAGCTTCTTAACGAGCCGAACATGAGCTGTTCGCGAACAACGAGCCTTTTTGACAGCCCTAGAGCTTAGTTCTCTATATAAAGATGAATAAAAGTAGGGTCTAGGGTTAATTAATGGATTATGAAAAAGAAAATTTTTGATTAACTTATACAACTAATTCAGGGAATTTTTAACGAAAATAAATCAAATAAATAATGAGGTCAATCGAGCTAAGGCTCCTCAAGAAAAATAATTATTTTCCTCTCTAAAATTTACAAACATGCAACAAAATCGATGCTCAATTTTGTTTGGATAAAGAAATTAATGTTCACAAATACTCTTCAGAGGATGTTTAGAAGCCAAGGATGATTTATTATTATAACATATATTTAACAAATTTTGACAAACAAGAATATGTAGATGCCTTATAATAAATTCGTGACAAAAGCATATGCCATACAAGTGGTAGAATGAGTCTGAAATCAAAGTTAAACACGAGAACTTATCAAAACTTCAACTTCTAAGAGAAATTGAATCAAATCCTAAAAGTATACTCAAACTTAAAATTGGGCAATAATTATAAACCAAAATTAAAATTGAAATTGAGTTTGAATCTAACTTTTAATAAGATTTGAACATGAAACTAAAAGCAATCCTACAATCATATAGCAATTAGACCCTATATCTAATCTTAAGTATAAATTTTAGCTTCCATATGAAATTAAATCTACACTTGACTGTGAAATTGAGACTACCATAGAAATTGAACCAATCCCTGCTTGAGAAACTAAGCCAACTATGTTTGTTGAAACTAATAAACATAAAGTAAAAACTAACAATAATAATTTAGATGAAATTCCCAAAGAAGTTTTGTGCACAAATGAAAGTGAAACAGATTTTATTTCAATTCCTGGGATCTAGGCTTACAAATTCATAGACATAGAATTTAAAGGAAAGCTAAATTGCATAACTATTTCAATAAAATGGTTAGTTTTCTTTAAAAAAGTTATTTGTCAGTTTATCCATAAAATTTGTGCGATTTTCATGTAGTAAAGTCCCTTTATCACCTCATCGTCATTATAAATCCTTATTCACATCCCTTAAGATGCAAAACTGATACGTCAACATTTTTATTATTTACTTCATATCTTTTGCATTATTTGCACTATCTACGCAAGTTGCATTACAATGTTCACAAGAATTTAATAGTTCACCATGGAAACCATAAATCTGCTGCTGAAACAAATAAGAGACGTGAAATTCAAATCAAGTGATAAAATAATATTAAGCTTAAATGTGAAGGGTAATTCATAAAAGCTTACAAAAAATAATCTATAAAAAATGAGAGGCCATATAAAATCCTTTTGCACGTTGGGTTAACGTTTATAAAATAACATATAGGGAAGCAATTGCATTAATCCAATTTTCAATTTATCTGAATCCCGTGGATTCTTCTCTTTCCATCTCCTCTTGTGTGGATTCACATGACATTACGCCTATAATTAATGGTTGATATAAAAAATACCACATATTGATGACACCTGAATTATTATGCACGAAGCACAAAAGTAATGATCAAATTTATTTGAAGAATATCAATGGTCAATTTATGAGTGTCAAATTTATCATATGCAAAAAGATTTGGCGAAAATTGAAAACAAATACTCATCAAAAGTGCACAAATGTTCAATAAGATAAGCAATAATTTTAAAATGTAACATTTTCTCCTATAAATTTGTATTGAGTGATCATGCATATGATGGTGGTTCATTCAACAACGGGCAGTGCTCTTTATATTTTGATTAGGTCCCACTGCAACAAGGTTTTAACTCAGCTCATTGAATTCCAAGTTCAGCACATTTGGAGTTCAGATTTAGTTTAACAGTTGTTTAAGTTCAAAGAGAATTGAGCAGAGCATATATTTATTTTATTATTATTATTTTTTTAACTTTCATCAGCTATTGCAACTCTCTTTTTTGATAGTCATCTGCCTTACACTACAATCTTTCGTTATACCAGCTATTTTCCATTACCACTACTGTCTGTTGTCCCCCTTACTTCCATGATAAGGCAGATGTTTCCTAGTAATAACATATCGCCTTTGTTCCCCAATATTTCCACGACAGCGCCATTATTTCCCAACAACCATTTACCTCATACGTTGCTCGCTACTTCCATTATAGCTCATACTTCGCACTACCTTCTACATCTCACCATTATTTATTGCTTTTGATACGCACTATTCTTTGTTATTGCCAACTTTCTCTACCCGTGCTGGAATAGAGAATTGGAGAACAGAACTTTATACTTGAGTAAAAAATTCATTTAAGATATAATTCAGCCAAGACCTGATGACACTGGATCTTTTTGAGTTAAATATAGGATCCCCAAAACAAGTAAATATAGAGAATATTAAATAGTTAATTAAAATTTTTTATTTTACTTAATTCTTGTGTGTGTGCTTGTGTATTTGACATGGATTCTTCAAGGCTTTGCAAGTATATATGCCTATTTCGAGGAGACGGGACACTTGATACCAACATGGCCTAGATCTCAATGATTTAAATCCTATTCGTTCCGGTAACTTGTCAAGTAACTGATGCATGTCAGTAATTGAAGTTTCCTTAAACTTGATATGTATTCGATTCCCAATTTGGTGTGAATATTAATCATTATTGAATTTTATATTTGCTCTCACATTTTTATTATGAGATTTCAAATTCTGGAGAATAGTGGCATCATTGTTTAAAATGAAATTAGTAAACGTCATGTTTACATCAAATATAAACACTCCTAGCTAACATTATGGTTTTTGTATTTCATTGTGGATCTCATTCTAAGATGTAAAAAAGAATCCTAATCCCAAAGCAATGCACTCACCAGAAATACCTTTTTGTAGCCATTATTTGAACTTTTACCTAATGATTATTACACATTTCAAACTAAAAATATAACCCATCTGCAGTTTTAAACTAAAATTTATATGTAAGAGTAACAAATCCATCGGCTTGGTCCTGGTTAGTCGGAATTATGCAGGCTTAGTTAACCAGAGTTGAGTACGGACAAGATTTGGGGAGTTTCATTCTACAGTAGAAAACAACACCCAGAGATTGCAACACAACTTGGAAAAAAAAGGGTGAAAAACAAAATTGTGAAGGGGGGTGAGAAAGCCTGAAATAGAGGTAAAAAAGCAGAGATTTATGGATGGAAAAAAGGAATTCAAACAAAAATAACATTTCACAATGATGCTGGACGAAGCAGATGGAATTCAGTTTTGGCCAGTACAGATTATATGATTATAAAGCACGTACAAAAATAAACAAAAACAATAGTGAAGCTTATTATGCAATTTGCAGATTGTACAAAAAGAAATTGCACTATATAAAAAAACCAAGAGTAACTATATAAATGAAATTAAATCAATTTCAGGGTTAATTATCAAAATAATTTTACTAGAGCTTTTCCTACACTTGAATAATGGTAAGTGTCATTTTCCATGAGAACATTATAGAACATTTTTAACATCTTCTCAACATGTAGTTATATGGAGGATATACCTTGCCCCATTCCTCTCTCAAGTCTTCGCTCTACAATTGGGTGATGGTAGAAAATGATGTAAATTACATACAATTGAAACCAACAATTTTCATCACAACTCTCCTCATCCTTGCCCTTCTCTTAGCTTGGTTAGTTTGTAAATGTTATGTTTGTCTAAAATAAACCAAAACAAAGTCTAGCCAAGAAAAATTTTCCAAGTCAACTATGAATGGATAGCAATGATGTCTAAACTGAGTTCTGAAAAAACCCACTTGATGGTCAAAAACTTATACAAAACCCAAGAAATGGCAGAATGCTCTTTGATTTCGTATCAAACATGTTAACAATTCTCTTCTATAAGAAGAGCCCTCGCTAACGAAAATGAATTCTTCATACAAGAGATGTAATGAGCTAACCATACTATTTATTTACAATGCAATAATCCAATAGCAAAACGGTACTATTTTCTAAACATAAATAGGAAAAATTATGAGAAATGGACTGCAACACCAGGATCGCATAACAGGATGCTGTTTCAGTATCCAACGTTTGAAATGTCAGAGTAAAACAGTAAGGCCCTAATAGAAGAGCCAAAAGAAATGATGCACCTCACCTTATTCACACGGATAGGCTTTCCATAAAGTTTAATCATGTTCAAAATCTTGATTGCCTGAGGTAAAAAGAGTGCCATCATTTTGTAAAATTCTAGAGCAAAAGCTAGAATAAACTACTTTAAAGAATATGAAAAAATTAAATCAGGCATCTGATACTCACATAATCAGCATCTTCTTCGCTTCGGAACTCTATGAATCCATATCCTTGGTGAAGATTTGTCACTCTATCTTTCGGAACATAGACATTAACTATAAAAATTGTCATGATAAAAAAGGACCTAAATTTAGTATGCCTTCTGAAACGAAATTGTAACAGAAAACAAAATAATGCAAATTTAAGGTTAGATTCTTTAGGTAGATATAATAAATGAGTAAATGTAATTCACAGAAAGAAAGTAGAATTTGTAGATCAAATAACATTAAATACAAACAGCTTGATTTATTTAGCTACAAGCTAGAAAATACAAAAATGAGAACCAAAATCAAAATGCAATGATCAATTAAATCTAAAAAAAATACCAAGAAGAAATTCAAACAATGAAAAACCAATAAGCTATTGAATTTATTTTAATTACAATTTTAATCAAAATTAATTGCCCTAGCAAGCCAATGACAATGTATTTAGAAGTTAGATAAGGGAAAAAAATTTCACCGTTAAAAAAAATTAAAAAAAAGCCTCACGCAAATACAAAGACATGAGTTCCCTCCCACGGAATTAATTAGTCACACAAAAGAAATACACAAAAATTTACACATCCAACATTCACATAAAATTAAAACTATAATAATAAACTTTATTAAATTAAAAGCTTAATATTATATGCCTCAAGTTTTTTTATAGATTGCCCAATGCTAGATTTGTGGAAGGGTTAGGCCCAAAAACATCCTTATACACTTCAATTCTTAATTCATCGCCTAAATTTTCAATTATCCGCAAGTATCATAGTAAAAAATACATCAAACCACAGAGAAGGCAGAACAACATGTTAACTAAAACTCCAAAAAATTGCATAAGTAATTAGCGAAGGTATTACTGTAGCTATAGTACCTAACATGCAGTTATCAGATAAATAACAACAACTAAATCTATTTTCTATATGAATCAAATTCAAACAACATATAAATTGAAATACAATTTTTGAAATTCAATTCAAGCACAAGTAAACTAACCGAGCTCATGCAAATCACAAAAATATCATGTCATGAGGAAATCAACATAATACAAAAAATCAGCTTGTTCTCATAGAATATTTCAAATACCATAAATAATAACCATAAGAAACAACTCCTAAAAATAAATAAGCTGCATTTACTCAAATTATTTATTTTTGTCAACACTCCTTAAAAATAACAAAATGCAAATCTCCATCAAATATACCAAAACATATTTGGCTCTAGTGAATTTAACATCAAGTATTCATTAAGACACTTCGTAAATTATCTCTCACAATTGCCAAAATAATAAATAAAATAAACATGCATGCCACGCCAATTCACGAAAAAGAATATCGAAAGAGAGAAGATTTCAAAGAATTAGCACCACGTTCATGATAAGATTAAAGCTGACATGCTAGAAGCAATATGAATGTCCTAATTTATAATATACAAAGATTAGTTCCAATAAATTGCAAAATTTTAAATAGCTTGGCCTTTCTAGCATTAAATTTTTTAAGGATCCCTGAAGAAATCTTTTCTAAATTTAAATGCACCATTAATTTACCCCTATAATTTGAGTCAATATACCTTTGGTTCATATCAATGGAAAGCTTAAAATTTTGTTAATCAAGAGTCCATGTTCTGCGAACATTCTCATTAAATTCAATAAACTCATGCTATTGGGACGTACCAACTGGTCCAGCCTGAACAAATAATTCCCAAAGTAGCTCCTCTGTAATCTGCAGCATGAGGATAAAATTTAATGACAATAACTAAAGGATATACTGATACAAAACTTCATGAAAATAAAATAGAGCATATATAGAAGTCTCTTTCAGCAATTTTCAATTTACAATCAAGTAAAGCAAGAGATATGACAATATTGCTAAGAATCAACAACTTTTTCGAATACAGGGAGTGTCCATAAGACTTAGAACAGTTTAGCGAAAAATCTAATATGGATTCTATCTCACATTTAAACACCCCTTCTCTCTGCTTCCACAGCTCAATGCTTGAGGCGATTACAACAATTTATTTTCATCCAAAAATGTGATATCAATGTCTTCATCATACTCATTAAATGTTTGGATCGAAAATGCCAAGAGAATCATCACCTTTTATGGAACTGTAACCTTCTCCCACAGTTGAAGCTAGACTCTGTTGGCATGTTTCCTTCCAACGACCGCTATCATGGCCTGGATCGGTCCTCTATTGCAGATAATGATTTTTCATAGTATATTTGGATGTGATGTCCTATTTCTTTTCATATTCCTTGTTTTCACTGGCTTGCTATACTAAGGACTTTGCATAATTCCGACATTTTTCGTACCAGATTTGGTTAATTGTAAGCTAGCATCCAGTAAATTGAGTGAATATTGACCGCATTTTAGCTCTTCATCAGTTTAGGAAATGATAAAGCTCCTAAACTGCGATGCCTTAACAAAACCCTAGGTTGCATAACATAAATCATACTAACTAAAAAACCAGTCTCCCAAAGATAGCGCTGCAGCGCTAACGCAAGACAAAGTTGCAGCCTTTCAATAACTTATCGGTTGACCAAACCCTAGAAAAGGATCACCTCGAGGGACTATAAGAAGAAGCAGATAAAAACGTCCAAGATCCAATGGTGAAATACAATGGAGTGGCAACAAAAAGTAAGGACAGTGAAGAAAGAACCTGTGGATCGAGATTGCCGACGTAGGTGGTGGCTTCTTGGTTTCTCTCGGCGGAGTGCTGGCCGAGGAGGTTCGCACCCACCCCGGGAGCGATTCGCGTCGTCATCTGAAACAATTTCTTCTTCGCCTTTCGAACCCTCTTTCCTTCTTCGCCGCTTTCAACTTACAAAAAGGAAAGCCCTCGGAGATCATCGGACCCACACACAACTTAAAAAATGGGCCCGTCAAAATTTTAGTGCAGTATAATATTCATTCCATGTTATTCCATATTATTCAGATATTGTTATGATTGTATTTATGTGTTATTGTGTTTTGAGAATATTCTCGGTGTTATAATAAAACAATAATACATTAATACCACCACAATAACACTTGAATAACAGAATACACAGCAGAAATATTCTCCTGTGTTAACGAGCCAAATCACAAGAAATCACGCACGTTTCTTTGAAGTCACGTGTCCACATATCATTGGACTATGAACATAGCTCTACATTATGAGTCATAATGTAATATTTTTCCGGCTTTCATGGGCTGGCAGATAATGCACCATGCAATAACTTATTATTGTTGTTGTTATTATTAATAAAACCTCCACTTCGTTTGTATTAAGTTTTCAAAATCTCACTAAAGTATCTAAATTGGCATTTGTTCTATAGTTCAAAAAATCAGTATAATTGTGCAAATAGCAATATTTCTATTTTTTTTATTTCTTTTATAATATTATAATATTCAAATTGAAGAAAATAACTTGAAAAGGGAATAATTATTTAAATCAATAACAACAAACAGCATCAATAAAATAATGTTCACTTTTTTTTTCTAATGAAAAATAATCATAAAGTAAGAAGGGAACAATGGCGAAATTAAATATTAAAGGGAGGCAAGCATTTAAAATTAAAATTTTCATCTCCTTAAAAAATTTTTTAAAACTAACATAAATATTATTATTAAATTATATATATATATATGTGTGTGTATGTATGTAATTTAGGAGTTTATCAATGCCATTCTATCATTAAGAGTTATATTAACCATATGTATAGTGAAACTGCTAATATTTGTTGCCTTTCATCTGTATCGGACTGGCAGGCAGATTAATAGCCCATTTTATAAGCTTTTCCTCCCATCAATTAAATCAAGATATTCAAATATATTTCTCACGGATTATTTTCATATGAAAACTTACGATTCTGTTGGACATTTTATGGTAAATTTTGCAAGGAAATTATATTGGTACTAGTGATGACTACCAATTATTTTTACTGAATTACGATTAAAGGCAATTAATGAAAATGTAGCACGAAAAATATAATTGTCATTGCACAAAACATAAGAATTTCACATGTCTAAACATGAACTTTAATGCTGTTATATTCTTAATTTATAAAGTAATAGTAATAATATAATATATTAATTCACATGGATTTTATTTAGGGGTGTGAACGCTCGCTCGTTATATTTCGAGCTCAAAAACTGCGTTCGTGTTTGGCTCGTTTGTTTAGCGAACCGAACACGAGTTGTTCATGAACAAATAATCATTTTGACAACCCTAATCACATAGCCATAAGATGTTAAGGGTTGGGGCAAGATTTAAAAATTATTATTTATATAAAAACACCATTTGAATCTAATTTAATAATATTTATTCTGTTTTCTTAATTAATATTTTTAATTGATTATAAATTTTTGTAGCTTTGTAGTCAATTAATTTTTTTAAAAATATTACTTATTAAACATATATATATATATATATATATAATTAGTAATATTTTGATTCAAAACAAGCCGAATACGAACAAATAAATATTTGTTCGTGTTGTTTGTTTTCAGCTCGTTAATATAGCGAATGAGCCGAACACGAGATTCTTAACGAGCCGAACACAAGTTTGCGAATAGCGAGCTGTTTTGATAGCCCTAATTTTATTATAATTTTTTTTAAACAAATAGTAAAAATAATTCATTTATATTTACTTTACAGAATCATATAAACAAAAATATTTTCGATTATGTTCAGAAACCGTTGGATGCTCTCCCGCGCTTTCCTCCTAAAACCGTTGCCCATGGCGCCATGAAAATATCATCTCAATGGCGGAAACCCTTTTCAGTCGACTCATTAAAGCAGCACTGCACTTCAGTAGCAAACTGCAAGCAAGCTCACTCCTTCCTCCTCAGATTCGACCTCCTCCAGGAGAATATCCTTTCCAGCAAACTCCTTTCCTTCCTTGCCCTCTCTCCCACCGGCGACCTCAAATACGCCCACCAGCTATTCGACCAATTGTCCAGCCCGGATAGCTTCATCTGGAACACCATCATCCGCGGCCACGCGAGAAGTTCCAACCCCTCTCAAGCCATCTCCTTCTTTCACCATATGGTTAGCTCCGGCGTACCTCCGGACCACCACTCCTACCCCTTCGTTCTCACTGCCTGTGCTCGGATGCCATCCCCGGCACTTGGCAAGAAGTTTCACGCTGAAACATTTAAGTTTGGTCTTGGATCCGATGTTTTCGTTCTGAATTCCTTGATTCAGATGTATGCTTGTTGCGGGCTCGTTGTTGATGCCCGCAAGCTGTTTGATGGAAATCCTCTCAGAGATGTAGTGTCATGGAATGTCATGATAAGAGGATTTGTTAAGAGAGGGGAATTCGACGACGCTTTTCGTTGTTTTGATGATATGATTCGAGCCCAAAATAGGAGTCCTGACCCCGTGACGATGATTTCTTTGTTGTCTGCATGCTCTCAGTTAGGCGATTTTGATCGAGGTCGCTGGCTCCACTTGTATTCCTCGGGCCTCGGATTCGTTCCATCAAATCTCCAATTAGGAAATGCGATCCTTTGCATGTACTGCAAATGCATGGATTTGCTGTCAGCAAAGAACTTTTTCGACGAAATGGGTGAAAAGGATTTACTCACATGGACCACCATGATCAATGGCTTCTCTAATTTAGGCAATTTTCGTGACGCTTTGGACTTCTTTAGCCAGATGCAGGACGAAGGAATTTGTCCTGATGAGGTCGTCCTTGGAACCATACTTTCGGTTTGTGCTCAGCTTGGAGCTCTCGAGGAAGGAAAATACGTTCATCATTTGATCGAAAAATATAACGTGAAACGCGATGTTGTTCTTCAGACTGCCCTTGTCGATATGTACGCCAAATGTGGGAGAGTAGAGTTTGCCATGCAAGTTTTTAAGAAGATGAAGGAGAGGAATGTGTTCACATGGAATGCAATGATTGGTGGACTAGCTCTTCATGGACATGGCCATCAGGCATTATGTCTCTACGAAGAAATGAAGCAGGAAGAAGAAGAGCCTGATGATGTGACTTTCATAGGGCTTCTACTAGGTTGCAGCCATTCTGGATTGGTTAAATCCGGGCTCAAAGTTTTTAATGAAATGGAAGATGTGTACCACATAAATCCTAGGATGGAGCACTATGGATGTGTAGTTGATCTCTTATGCAGATCAGGATTAGTGGAAGAAGCTCTGGATTTTATAAAGAAGATGCCTGTCAAGCCAAATGAGGTTATGTGGGCTAGCCTTTTTGGAGCTTGTAGGGTTCTTGGACATACAAAGATTGCAGAGATGATGAGTACGAGCATGTTTGAGTCGGATATTGAGCCATCCGGTCGATATGTGATTCTATCGAACCTGTACGCTGGAGTCCGTCGGTGGGATGAAGCCTTAAAAGTAAGAAACCTGATGAGAGCTAAAGGAATTAATAAAGTTCCAGGATTGAGTTGGATTGAACTGAATGGCATAGTTCACCAATTTGTGGCAGGAGATAGATCACATAACCAAACTGAGGATATATATGTGATGGTTACAGAAATGTGTCAGCGGGTTAAATTAGCTGGTCATGTGGCAGGTACCACTGATGTGTTGTTTGACATAGAGGACGAAGAGAAGGAACATTCTTTATTTTTTCATAGTGAGAAGCTGGCTGTTGCTTTTGGGTTGATGAGCACAGCTCCGGGTTCGGATATCAGAATAACAAAAAATTTACGAGTTTGTCGGGACTGCCATGTCTTTCTAAAGGCTATATCTAAGACCTTCCACCGAGAGATCGTCGCTAGGGACAGAAGTCGGTTTCACCATTTCAGAGGAGGATTATGTTCTTGCAAGGATTTCTGGTAGTTGCTGGCAATCAAAATATGTAAGGTATGCATTTATTGTGAATTTATATTATTTTCAAAAGAAATTTACGTGTGATTTTTAGATTTGGAGTATGTATCTACCTACACAAATATAATGTCTACCTAACATGTTGGAGATGTTAGCTGGGCTATTTACATTCAAAACTTGTTCTCTCTAGTTGAGATATTCTGATCAGCCCAACTCTGTTTTATTCTAGGTACTCTTGGACTGTTTAGATTGGTCTTAATAACAGATAACTTTATTCCATATGGCATGATGAAGAATTAAGACAGTTGGGTTTATTTAGAAAGCTAATGGATGGGTTCATATGGGGGAATTTCCTTCCTATGGGTAGGGTGTCAAATCGGGGTTCATGAGGGTCTGACCCAAAAATGACCCGGACCGAAACTGCTTGACCTTAGCAGCCCAAATATTACATGGGTCAGAAAGTTCAACTCGAACCCAACCTGCCTTCAACCTACCGGCCCGAGCCTAACTCATAAGCCATCTAACATAAAATATAACAACTATTTGAGTTGATTTCAGGTAAATCTCGAGTCAATTTTGGCTTGGTGGATCAATTTCGAGTCAATTTTGGTTTATCAAATTGATTCGGGTAAATTTTGGGTCAACGGGACAACTTGAACCTGGCCAAAAAAATTAAGAACGATGATTCCTAACCCAAACCTAACTAAAAAATAATTTAGGTCAAACTGGATAAAACTAAACCTGAATTGTTTGAGTTGAGTACGAGTCAAGTTGGAGCCTCGAGTCAGTTTTTTACACCCCTTACTTTGGGTACAATAATTGATAAAATCCAAATAATTGAAGTGCTGATCCCAGCGCAACAGTTTTGAACCGATCCTGAGAATTTAAGGGAGGGCGATGGATGATCATGACAATTCTCATGTACGAGGAAATTGTTAAAGCATGTGAGAATTAAGTTTAATACTACATTGGTTAACTAAAAAATATAGGGGAATATACATACACAACGCCCAATTCTTATGCATTTTACCTATCTAACACCTAAACTCTCATTTTTACAAACCAAGCACCCAACTTACCTTTTTTCCCACCCCTCAATATTGAAATCCACACTTTAATCCATAGATAGAGTGCTGATTTTGTAAAAATGAGAGTTTGGGTGTGATGTAGATAAATACATAAATATATTATTATAGAATTACCATGTATTCAATCTCACCTAAAGACCTGTTCTTTTAGATTTAAAATGAATTTGAACACTGATACGTCCAATCCTGTTTTGATTCCTTTGATATATTCCCCCAAACACAAGCTAGATAAAATTTTGAAGCGACAATATTGATGCACTTCAAAATATTGACTTCTAGCTTTAATAATATTTAGTGATCTAGTATTTTAGATGTTTTATGATCATTAACTAGTAAAAGGTGCTCACAAATGACATGACATAACTAATATTTTGATACCCATTTTACATAGTTGGACAAGTAAAACATACAATTTTCGACATCTATTAGATACAGTACTTGCCGACAACACATCTATACAACATGCGCTAAACAAACACACAACATTTTTAATTAAATATGATAAATAAATAAAAGAAACGCGTATCAGGCATATATGAAGCAAGGAAAGTGAAATCACAATAATGAGAAGAATGAACAGTACAAGAGCTAAAGATTAATTAGAGGCTTTACATCTCCACACAGACAACCTAAGATGCATTTAACAAAAAAAAAAAAAATTAATTACCCCTCTTCTATAATGTTATTATGTTAGTTTTAAAAAGAAATTTTCTCTTCATATAATCTGCATTTAATACTTATTATATAATTCGTCAATGTCCTATATTTTCAATAAAATATGTATTTCATATTTGTGTCCCTATATTCATATCAATGCATAAAAAGCAACCATTAATATAGCAAACAATGTGATCTACCTATAAATAAGTTTCCTTTTAAAAAAAAAAAAACTCATCTTGCTATCCTCGCTAGAACAATAAATTACAACATCAAAAGGGGACCGGGCTTGAGAAGACTAGATCTCATACCCAATCATTTTGCGGCCGCCTTCATGGATTCCTTTGACACTGCTAAACCACCTACAACTCCTCCAAATTAAGATCCAAGAGTCCTTCAAGCAATTCTAAACTCTGAGAACAACAAGCCAACTTCCTGCACTTCGCTGCTTCACTAAGCACCATTCTCATGTTCTCCTCCTTGAAATCGGATCACTACAGATATAGTCTCATTCATTTCGAAGTTACTGCCACCGATTCCTGTATGATGATGGGTTGGTAGAAGCCGAGCATTCGAATGATTATTGGAGAACTCGTCTCCATCAATTTGTCGGGATCTCGTGAAAGGAGATGCCAATCTCCCTTCATGAGTCACATTTAATGGCAAACGACAGATTGGGCATGTTGGTTGCTTCTGTAGCCATACATCTATACAAGTTAGATGGAAGTTGTGGAGGCATGCAGGCAGTATTCGCAACATCTCTTTGTCTTCGTATTCCCCTAAGCATATCGAACACCTATTTGAGAAAGCCAGAATAAAATCAATTCAAAATGCAAGCTTTTATTTTAAGATTTATTTGCAGCTGCTCAAACAAAGGATTGTCCAGTTTAAACAAGTCTAGACAATGAGCACATTAACGCATCACACAAAATAAGGCTTCAGTTGTTTTAAAAGTTTGGGGCATTTACATGCATAGAACATAATTCTAATGTATTTACATATCTCACGCCTAAATTTTCATATTTACACCACTTAGCATTCAAATCTTTAATATCAGATAAAAAATAGTACTATTATCACTCTTAAAAAGTGAAACACACATTTTCATGCATAAATTTAAAGCGCCGAAATGTAATGTATGTAAATATAAAAGTTTAGGTGAGAGATATGTAAATATATAAGAAATTCATTTTCCTTATTTTGAATTAAAATGACAGTTTCTTGAAAAAAATCATCATTCGCTGTGAAAAATCTAAAGAATTTTGTCACATAGGATTTTGGATTTTTTTTCCAATATCAATAAGCGAAAGTTGGACTTACTGGGCATCTTCCTTGGAGCGGAAAGCCTCGCGACAGTATTTCATTGTGGGAATTGCAGCGACGTTAATTGGCTCTGGACCATGAAATGAATGTTCTGTCTGCCAGCAAAATTTTCCATATTTCAACAATTAAAATCTCAACTTGAATAAATTCTGTACAAAACATGACCATAACTAGAAGCTTAGGTTTTCATATATGGATCCTGTAAGCTTAAATCCATGAAAGACATGAGAGTATAGCTTACAATCTATAATTAATGAGGCTTCCATAGAGCTATAAGTCTATGACTTTGTAGAGAATATATCATGCTTTTAGATATTTCTACCAAAATGGATGAAATATGCATAATCCCTGAAATTAACTGAAAACATTAATGAAATATGTGATAATAGTTTCCTGAAGCTAACTGAAAACATTTTCCCATCCAAGCAGAAACTGAAAAACAATGGAAGCATTATCAATATAATAGTCTGAACTCTCACCCATCGAGTATTGTCAGCTAATGGCCTTGCGGTTTTGTTCCATTGTTGTAACTTTCCAGCAGGTCACTCATCCTAGAAATGTTCCCATAAGAGCATGCTTAACCATGGATTTCTAATGAAACTCCTAACATTACGCCAAAAGACGCCTTGATGTTTAATAGTTCAACTTTATTCTAATTTAGAGGTTCCCCAATCTCCCCAACTTAAGTACTAGTTTCTTTGTCAATTTTCTTATCCCAAAATCATCTACCAAACATATATTCATATTTCAGACTGGTGTAATGCTCTAATACCATTTGTAAGAACCCAAACTATCACACATCGAGATATTGGCCGCTTTGGCCTAATGGCTTCATTAGTTTTGTCTCATTGGTCTTTCTAGGAGGTCACTATCCCATGAATGCTCTCATAAAAACACATTTAACTATGGAATTTCTAATGACATTCCAACCATTACACCAAAAGACACCTCGATGTTTGAGAGCTCAGCTTCATTCTACTCAAGGTGTGTCACAGTTAAGTAGAGTCATTCAAAATTCAAACAGCTTCAGACAAAGATTACAACTGACCAAGCAAACAAACAGATCAAATCCAGTGGAGATGGATTAGTAAAATGATCTATTTGGTTACAGTCAAAAGATTAATTAGTTCCCTCGTAAATTCCATTTTTAGAGAGCTAAACTATTACAAGAAATGATAGCGATAAGCAGAGACAAAAGCTTCCTACATTATTCAATTTGAATTTCTTACTGCTCGGTTGTCCTACAGAAAATTTCAGATGGTGATGGAGAGAAACTTTCAACTTAGCTGCAGAAATTACGATTAAAAGTGTTTCCAACAAAAAAGACGATAGGGTGAAGCATATATATATGTAAAACCTACTTCACTTCCAAAACCCACTACAGAAGTTTCGCAAGGGATTAATCTTCTCCCACCTAACTTTCGACACCAAGCAATTTGTTTAATAAGGTGAAATAAAGGGATTACTCACCGTGTACAGATCGGAGCGGAGCTCGTGGCTGAAAGCGGCGGCTCGGGATTCCGAAGAACGGATCCGGCCGCAGATCAATCGAGCACAGATGAAGATGATGAAGGTCGCACTCATTCCAAACCCTATGACTGTGGTGATGAGGTTCACGCCCGTGCCCAGCATTTCGCTTTTCTCCGCTTCAAGCCTTCGAAAACCCTCTTTTATTCAGTATATCCTCTCCCAATCTTCGGATCTCTTCACTCGTCGTTGCCTCCATCGACGACGTGGGCTTGGATCCGGAACTGGATAACAGAGCTTAATAAGCCCCGAGTAATACTCATGCTTCGAATTCCAGAATAGCTTTCGCCGATGGTAAGGTCAGTATGCGGACTGCTGTGGAAGAGGAGAACAGAGAGGTAGATACAGATAAGATTGACGGGTAGAGAGGCGGCGGAGCCTTTTTGCCTGTTACGGCGCTTTTGCAGTGATGGGAATAATTGGGAAGAAAAAAACAGGGATAAAGGAGGTCTGTGCGTTGCATTGCAAAAGAAATGGGGAAATCTTTGGGGGGCTATCTGCTAAATTTAAATTGTCAATAAATTAGAATATGCATTGCATTTATTTTGAAAATAACTTTATCTAATTAAATAATTTAATAAAATAAATTTATCTAATTAAATAATTTAATAATACCTATGATGAAAAGAAGGAATTTTAAAAGGATTTGACAAAAATGATACTTTTTTTATTTTTATTTATAAATATATTTGTGTCATGCGGGGCACAGATACTTTTTTTATTTTTATTTATAAATATATTTGTGCCATGCGGGGCACAGTTTCGAGTCTGACGTGTCATAGTTTTAATAAAATTAATTTTTTAAAATTAGATATTTAAGATTTTTTAAAAAATTGAATGTTTAGAAGTTGAATTTTTAGAAACAACAAAGTTGTGCTACGTGGGCAGAATTCGAGTCTGACATGGCATAATTTTTAATATATTTTTAAATTTTGAATTAAAGCTTATTTTAAAAAAATAGATTACTATAAAAGTTGATTTTTATCAATGCAATTTATTTTTAATAACTGCTTTTTTAAGATTAATAAATTTATTTAATTATGAATAAATGTTTAATAAAATTAGTATTAAACTCAAATTTAAAAGAATATTTTGAATATAATTTATATTAAGAATAAGTGGAGATATGGTTAAATCTGATTCATTAATTCATTGGGCATAGCTCCCGGCCATAAAACTTAATTTGAAATTTTAAAGTTAATAAGAATTAATTTTAGAATTAAAATGTAATTTGATAAAATTAATTTCATGAAGACAGGCCTCATGCCATTAAGGCGCAATTTGATAAAATTAAAATTAAAATAAATAATAATTAAAGAAGTTGACATTTGGTGAAATGTAATAATCTTTAATAAATGATTAATTAAGGTGATTAGATTTTAAATAATAGGTTAATTAAAATTTGAACAAATTTTAAATAGAAATACTAGGTATATTTTTAAAATATCAATTCTAAAAAATAAATTAATTTAGAAATTTAAATTACTTTTTGTTTTTAAAATATCAATTCTAAAAAATAAATTAATTTTTATAAATAGGACAAATTTCTATACTAAATAGGACAAATTATTTTTTTATAAATAGGACAAATTTTAAATTATTTTTTATAAATAGAACAAATAGAGCTACACTCAATGAACTAATGAGACAAATTTCATATAGTTCATCTTAATTTTAATATAAAGTATACTCTAATTATATCTTCATTATCATATAATTCAATAACATTCAAATTTAATTTATTCGATAAAATAGATCTTTAAGAAAGATAATTTAATTTTTCAAAATTATTTTTTTCTGTTATAACTGTATATTTTTAAAAATAAACTTCCTATTTTTATTAAAAAAAATTCATAATTAAATAAATTTAATATTTTAATTGAAACTTAAATTTATTAACCTTAAATAATCCTTTAATAAAAACTAATTACATTTCTAAGAAATTCCATTTTTAAATTATTCTGTTTTTTAAAATAAGCTTAAATTCTAATTTAGAAAAAGTTAATTTTATTAAATTATATTACATTTCAATCCATTTGTATTTACATATCTAGGCCTAGAGTTTGAGATTTACATTTATAACACCTTGGTGTCTTGAACCCATGCATGAATATACGCTACTAATGATATTTTTGATCTCATATTAAAGATTAAAGTTTTATATATGTATATATATTAATATTTAGGTATTAGATATGCAAATACATAAGAATTATGTGGTGTGTCTACATATATAAATAAATGAACATTCTGATTTAGGGTATGTCTTGAAGAGGTGAATCCAAATAGACCAAGATCATTAAATTATAAGGTCATTAAAGCATTAAGATGTTTGAAAAATAGTATATGATTAATGAAGTTTCAACACATACGATCTATTGAATTTGTTCAACTTCTAATCGAAATGATTGGAATGTCCTATCTAAAATCAATAAATAGAACATGCCTATACATTTAGAAAACATAATAGTTTGAAAGACAAATAAAATTGACACAGGGCATTGATATTAAGAGCATAATAGATTATCATCATTAGCCCTAATGCTCGGTGTCGTTGATAAGGTCAGCGCCCATCATATGCCTAGTTGCATGCATTTCATCGTCATCAATGTTGGTGGCCATCATTGCTATCAAGGCCAGAATCTATCATTATAAATGTATTTGATCATCATCATCATGATCATGAGAGAGGACGCTAGTCAATCTACTTTACCATGATTGAACTATCATTGCCAACACTTTATAACAAGTCGACATTACAATGATTTTGTTCGTTTCATCACAGGAGCCATATTTCATAATCATGTTACTAAACTGTTGATACCTGTTAAATTATAAAAAATGAAAATTTTGTAATATTTTATCCATATTAGTGAATTTCTCTACTAAAATACTAATTTTATTTAACAATAGTCTATTATTACTATGTTATTTGGTTGATTCTATTATTCAAATGTAACTATTTGTGGTTAAAAAATTAAAATTAACATAAATAATAGCCTAAGAAGTAAATCTTGAATTAAACTTATTAAATTTGATCAAGATTATCAAAATTGATGCTCTTCCCACAACAAAGATCAGGCATGATGATTTCATTCTAGTTCTCTCATTGTTTGATTACATTATGATATGGGTATGTCTCTTAATTTCTCATTATATGGCAAGTTAAAAAAAAAAAAAACCTTTTAGCTCTTTTGGAGTTCTCATTTCTCAACCTTAGAGAACTCCTAAAACACTAGCATTTATTTGAGAGGTTCATCTTTCAAAGGGGAATTTCATTTATCGGGGTTAAAATTGGGATTTTATCCTCTCTCTCTCTTCCACAAATGTCCTCATAATCGCAGCTGCATATTTTACCATTTCCTAAAGCTATTCTAGAATTTGAAGTAGCAAGTCTTACTTGCACCTTAAGCTCTCTTCTTAAGTCATTTACCCAAGCCCTAATCATTGTTAGAGATTGCAAACAGTGTGGAGACTATACTATTAAAAGAAGAATGATTGACGAAAATGAGTATTTCAAAAGAATTTAGTAAATAATAAAAAAAATAGCCTCAAACTTAAACCTAATCACACTCACCGTAGTGATCAGAATGAGCACAAATTCCATCATCCTCTTTTATGCTCACTTGACATGTGGAAGAATATTCTATTCATAAACATCCACAAAATATATTTTAACACTCTCAACAACCCTATCTCAAGTTCCACCTTACCATGAACATCCTTCATTGATAATGATAAAGACGCGTCACTAATGATTTTAAACTAATAATGTAAGCATATACTTTATAGCCTACTTCATATAGTGTTTCCAAAATGCATGCTATCAATTCATCTTCCACCTTTTTTATTTATATATAAAATATTAATGCTTGCTCCAATGATATTCATCAACTATAACTCTTTATGTGGCTTTGTGCACCATCCTCAATAGATGCCATTTCTTGCATCACTTCACATAACTTAAGTGCCCACTTCTTTAGATGGTGCCATTGGGCACACCATGTAATGAAAGTTCATTGCATTATCTTCAATAGTCCATATTTTTGCACTTTTTTATATTTATGGGTACACCATTTTATTTAAAATATTTGATCACATGAATTTATCTTTGAAAAAAATGGATAAAGTAATATTATATATTTTTATTCCCAAAAAATGAATTTAATAATTCTTATAAGTATAAGAACAAATATGTTAGAAAGTTATGTGTGTTTTGAACATTAGTCATAAAGGAAAAAGGGATCTCTATCAATTGGCCCAACATCAAACCAAAATTCTTATACTATTTGCATGTCACAATTCGTTATTGCATAATTCATCCAAGATAAACACAAGGTTTATATTTCATTAGGTGCATTTACATGCATACCACACAATTCTCATTTATTTACCTTTCTAACAACTAAACATTCATATTTACATGCATATAACCCCAAAGCATTGAACATTACATCAAAGCATCACAATCACTATATTTTAAAAAATAAATACATCTTTTTCATGCTTACGCATACGGCACCAAAGTTTTATAAGTATAAATATGAAACATCGCGTGCTAGATATGTAAATACATAAGAATTGTATGGTATGTGTGTAAATTTTCCATTTTATTATGTTTTCCCATATCATTAGAAATGTGATAGTTAAGTGTTGGTTATTATAAAAATATCATATTTAAAATTTTAATGTAAAATATCATCATTTTTTACGTCAGAGAAGAATGACTGATATTTGATAATTTTGGCTAAAATTATTAGAATGATATCCTAATAATTTATAAATAGTCCCTTCCACATTAAATGGTGTGAAACTTAGAGAGATGCGAGGAATTTGAAAAATCTTGGACTTTACCTAATATTCAATATCCATGATTGTCACCACAACAACTATCGTCTGATCACCAAAGCCCTGCACCTATTGCCTAACCGTTGTTGCTTGATTGTCATTACATAATTGTTATTTTATCACTCTACCGCATTGCTCGATTGTTGCCTAGCTATCATCTCTAATCACCATTACTTGATTTTTATTTTCCGACCGATATTGGCATGAGAACCATGGCTTAACCATCATCATCATCATCATTCAACGCCCAACTCTCTCCATATCATATTTGAGTCCATTAAAATACTCCAAGACATTCATATAAGCTAACTCTTTTTTATCAGCTCTTTACTTTGTAAATGATTAATGTGTGCATAATGTAATCAAATAAACCTTGGTAGCAAATCTCAATTTCATGAAAAGTCTATAATATGTGGATGTAGTTAAAATTATTAATATAAAAATTTACAATGCTAGGTTTTGGGTGAAATTATTAAATTTGTATCAAAATTCTTAATATAAAAAAAAATATTAAAAAAAATCATGAGATCTATCCCAAATAAAATGAATCCATTTTTATAAGTAGAGATTATAAATATTTCTTATTTAGCATAATCA